AACTTTATCACGCACGACTTTATCAGTTTCTTCTAGAAGAAGATGAGCTGGCATATTCTACCCCACCTCACCCCCATTTCAAGCAATTACTGCAAGTTTAGAGTATAAATATAAGGAGATTTGGGAAGAAAATCTAACCTTGGGTGGGACATGCTTCTGTCGTTTATCGTCGCGTTGCTAAGGCAGGATCCGGGACCCCAAAGTTTGTAAAAGTAATTTTGGATTGTTTCTTGGATCCTACATCTAACAGCGTCTACCGTAACTAATAACTCAAAAGTGAAGGAATTGCAGACATATGATTATATGAACTTATCCTCAAGGACAGATGGCCCAGTAGATATAGACGTTGGTTAGATCCAATGATTAGACCCCAAAAGTTGTGAGTTCTAAACATATCTAGGAGATAAAAAAAAAACAAATCAGACCAAAAATATCGTAGAAAATAAGGAAAAGAACATCAGCCTACAACAATCAATCCAAAAACTCTAAAGTCTGCTTTGAGGAAAAATAGCCACAATTACCGTCCCAACTACTAAATAAACGATCGAACTCATCTCAAAATCCAGACACGAAAACAAATTTTTACTACGCTACTTTGAAAGTGAAAACGAGCAAGAATAAATGAAAATAAATAAATAAAATAAAGTAAATAAACAAAAACAAGTAAAATAAATTAATCCAAATAAATAAGTAAATGAACTAAGTAAATAATAAGCAAATTAACTAAACACGCCTACCAAAATAATCGTTAGAATAATACAATAGACTACCCACAATGCAATAGACTACCCACAATGCAATAGACTACCTACAATGTATCACTGAACTGTATATATATAAAAATTCAATCACAATGAACATGGACTGCCGCTTGTCTCTTTAGCCTGAGAGTTTAAGTCTTAGATAGACTTCATCATTGATTTTACTTTTTTTCTTTTTTTTTTTTTTCAAAGACTGATGAAAAAAAGCTTTTTTGGTTACATCTATTTTACATTGATTGTATCTTTTATGATTTTTGTTTTTTTTTTTTTTCATTTTCAGTTTACTTTTACTCTCCACCGGCAAGAAGCTAATTTTAATTTTCCTGATGTAACGTCCTTTTATATATTGCGCTAGTGTTTTTTTTTAATTTATTTTTCTCTTCTTGTTTTTAATTTTAATGTTTAAGTTTTTTCTTATCCTTAAAAAAGCCGTCTTTAAATCGCTTTTCTTTAATTTTATTTCACAGTTTAATTTTTATTTTACGATAGATTTTGTAATTTTATTTTTATTTTTCGGCTTATTTGGCCATTTTTTTTTTTTTTGGCTATACGTGCATTTAATTAATTTTTTTTGCATTTCTTTTATTGTTCGTGTCTTTGAAATAAATTTCTTTTATTTTTACTTGTTAAATCTTCTTCGTCTGCTGATAAACTCAGTTTTTCTTCATTCGTTTTAAGTTTTTCGGTGTTACTGTTTGTACGTTAAACTATTTTTTTCCCACATTTTTTTGGAAATACTTTAATTTGTGTCTTAAATTGATTATCACTTTTTTTTGTTTCTATCTTTTTTTTCGTATGGTAAATTGTTTATTTTTAAAAACTTCCCTTGTTTTGCCTATAATAATTAAAAGGGTAGATGCTTAAAAATTCTCCGACAAAAGTCGCCCGTCATAAAGAACCAGTTTGGTTTGAAAAAAACAAAAAAGAACAAAAAAGCTGCCGTATGAAGAACCCAGGAGGATATTACTATAGAAGACAAAATTAAATCTGAACATTGAATGGTGGCCGCAAATGGCCCAAATTTCGAAACATGAAAAAATACACCAACCGTAAATAAGAAAACCGAGACTGAAAGGAGAATAGCAACGACACCAATAACAGCAACAAAGATAATGTAGCATCCGCGAATTCGGCCTCTTTCTCGAGGTGCCACTTCCCAAGAAATGTATAATCAATATTACGGAATTCCTGGATAGATCCAAGCGTTACGAACATCTTATCAAAGAAGATGGACTCTTGGTAAACTCCAGGAAATACAAAGATTTGAGGTGTCTGTCTTTTTGCTCGACAATCGTTCGCGCAAAATATGTCGCTCCACTAAAGATACCGTGAGAAAAACCTTGACGTTTCTGAGGGTTAAGCACCAAAGTGTAATCAAAGGTAAAATTTAATACATGTGGGACGTACTGTTACCCGCACCTGCCGACTGTGAGAAAGCTCCCAGTTGAAATCTTATAATGCTCATGGAATATGAGGACAGACGAAGGCGCCCTACCAGTATATGAGGCTCCTCCTCAGGTTTTATGAGAGCACTTGGCCACCTAACTGGTACAATACGGTCAGATATTAAGTGATACCCCTGACAATCGAATAGGGGATGGAGATTTGAGGTAATGCTGGATCGTAAAGCTTTCATCTCCGTCCCCGAACGGCCTAGAATTAGACTGCCAGAAAATGCCGGTCATTATGTCCTAACCCCAGCCATGTTTAATGCAGATTACCAACCCTTATCGGAATTCTCATGGTTCTCTGGTTGTCTAGTACAAGTGGCCGTGGCCCGAATCAGGGGAGTCGGTGTGGATGTATGTTGTGTACAGGAGACTCGGTTTTCAACTCGCGACAGTGAATATATGCTAAGAGGTTTGTCCTCTATTCAACTGGTTACGATGGTCGTTCGAGAGGTGTCTCCTGGCTATTGAGCAAGTCTCGGAATGGGGTGCGTGCTCTTTTTTCGCAGGCATTGCTTACTAAATGTTACCGTAAAGGATAGTATGTGAGATTGTGAAACCCAGGGTCACAAACTCACATCAACAGAACTAAATATCTTAGCTCTATCACTGATAATATATATATATATATATATATATATATATATATATATAGAGAGAGAGAGAGAGAGAGAGCATAAATATTGTATACACACACACACATATATATATATGTATATATAAATATAAAAGTGAACATAGAAGTCAACACGAGTGCTCTTATTTTTCTCGGCTATTTATATATACGGGTCAGTGGTGCATTGTGGGTAGTCTATTTTGGCGGTTATTTTACCGGAGTCCGTTTATTTTTTTATTTGGGTTAAATTATTTTGCTTGTTTCTGTTTGTTTTTTTTATTTCTTATATATATTCTTTTATTTTCTTTTTAATCGGTGTTTTTATTAACGTAATAAAAATTTGTTTGTATCGCTTATTTAATAGTTTTGTCTTGGTTTGGGAATATACTGCTATTTATTCAATTTTGGGGTTGATTGTTGTAGTTTATTCTAACTATTATTTTGGCGGGAACAGTTTTTAATTTGTTTATTACTTCATGTATTTGTTTGGATTGATTATCTTTATTTGTTTTTTCTAACGGTTAGTTTATCGGGATCGGTTTATTAGTTTATTAATTTATTTGGGTGAATTTACTATACTTTTATTATCTATTTGTTATACTGTATATTTTCTCTTTTCGGTTTTCGATTTTTAAGCAACGCAGTATTTTTTATCGTTATATAACAGTTATAGCTACTTTTTCGTCCGATTTTTGTTTTGATTTTTATAGTCTAACTAATATTTTGGCCACAATGGTTTGCTAATTTGTTTATTATTTACTTTATTTATTTGCATTCATTGATTTTGTTTCTTATTTTTTATTCTATTTCGTCTATTCTAAGGGGTGTGATTTGGTAATTTGTTTGGGTTAATTTATTTTGCTTATTTTATTGTTATTTTGTTTATTTATTTATTTTTTATTTTTATTTTATTTTTTCCGTTTTCGATTTTTAAGTAACGTAGTAAAAATTTGTTTTCAAAATAATTGAGCCCAAATAAATAAATAAACGATAAATCAATACCCAAGATAAAATAAGGAATAAAAAAAGAAAGAACTAAGAACATGTAATTCAGCCGAAAACAATCAACCAGAATCCAAGCTCAGAGTCCAAAGAAAAAAAAACTCGACACGAGTAAAGTAAAAATAACTGATGAAGGTGAATTTAAGCGTATTTATTTTTAGATAAACACAGAGACTGAGAGAACTCGATTCGATTTGCCGAAGTGTCTAGCATTATTAACCGTAAGAGTAACTGTTTACAAACCCACACTTCCTCCCCAGAGAGTTCAACTGAAATAATATATATATATATATCTGTGTGTGTGTGTGTGTGTGTGTGTGTGTGTGTGCATATATAGTGTATTTGACCATAATTTCTTCTGTTATTCATGTTTTCTTTAATATGATAGACAATAAATATTTCGTATGTTATTCAGATTTTTTTAAGAACCTTATAATTTTTGGGAATGTGGAGGAGAATTAGCCGAAATCTATGACATCATAGAAAATCTAGAGAACAACTAAACTACCACCAGTTAGAATGAAAATGTCAATCAGGTGCCTGAACAAAAATTGTCTACATTGAAAATCAAAATTAAAGTAATTAAAACTGAGCTGCATTGCAGAAAGGAAACCCGTGATACATACTGAATACGTAGCAGCATGCTTGCTTTTGATGTTGCAATTAGAAGCTCACACATTTGGTTACCTATGTTGCAAGTGATTATACATTCTTTTTCTTCATATGGTTAATAGTTGCTCCTTTCTTCCCGCTTTTCTCTGCAACTTTCCATAGGATTTTTTCTAAGTATGCATTGTGTCCACAGGAAGGCGCTCTACTTTTCTATTTACACTATTGTATTTAGACTTTCTGTCCACCATTGGCAATACTTAGATTTCGTCTTGTCTTTAATTTTACTAGCTCTTTAAATAAGAATTTAAATCGTTACCAATCGAATTACGCTCAAAAGCCGGTGTTTTGTTTTGGTTTTTTGTTTTTTTCAACTGGTTTATTTGTGTTGTGCTTGGTGAGGAAGGGTTATAACAAGTTATCTCCCTTGAGGTTGATTTACAGGTGGAAAAGGAACTTGAAATAAATATCGTGCTTCGTCATCAACACCGCAGTAGACAAATAATACGCAATATATTTCGGTAGACTTTTACAATCAAATAGAATTTATGAGGTTAGATGAACAGCGAAGGAAATGGAAAGAAACGCCTCGGTTAGTAATAAAAGTGAAGAATGGATGCCGTGAAGGCAGTCGAAAAGTAACTAAGAAAGAAAAATGACATGAAAGGAAGAAGATATTATAAGAAATAAAGAAAGAAAATGAACGTATTGAAAGAAAGAAAGAAAGAAAGAAAGAAAGAAAGAAAGAAAGAAAGAAATGTCTTGTGAGAAAGATTGAAGAAGGTATTTTTAGAAAGAACGAAATAAATAAGGGGAGAATAAGGAAGATATTTTCAGAAAGAAAGAAAGAAAGAAAGAAAGAAAGAAAGAATTGCGAGAAAGAAAGACAGGATAAGGTATTTTAAGAAAGAAAGAAAGTAAAAGAAAATATTGTCAGAAAGTAAGACAATAAAGAAGGTATTTTTTAGAAAGAAGGAAATAAATAAGTACAGAATAAGGAAGATATTTTAAGAAAGAAAGAAAGAAAGAAAGAAAGAAAGAAAGAAAGAAAGTCTTGTGAGAAAGAAAGACGGAACAAAGAATGTATTTTTCGGAAGAACGAAATAAATAAGAACAGAATAAAAAAAATATGTTAAGTACGAACGAAAAATAAAAAGGAAGAAAGAATGTCTTTTAAGAAAGAAAAAAGATAGAAACAAGGTCCTGCTTGAAAGAAAGAAAAAGCAAGGATGAATTGTGGGAAATAAAATTAAATAATGAATAAAGAATATATTGTAAGTGTAGTGGATTGGTAAATAGTCTTGTACCAATTTGCAAATGATAAGTAGAAGTGATTTAAAGAGTATGGTAAACTAAGAGACAGGCAAGAAATTGACTGCTGATCACGTGTCGTAGAACCATACCAAACAGCAGTAAGAAAGAAAAAAATAAAGAAATATGATATTGTATGGAAGGACATGAGGAAAATAAAAAAAAAGCAAGAATGAAAGAAAGAATACAAATCCAAGTGGAAAAAGACGTACTGAAAGTAGTTCTTGAAAGAAAGAAAGCTTATACAAAGAAACTGTATGTGTAAGATGGAAATAATGACGCGGGAAAATAAAGAAATACGAAAAAGCAACGAATAAAAGAAAAAAATCCATTATAAGAAAAAAAAAACCTTGCTAAGAAAGAAAGAAAGAAAGAAAGAAAGAAAGAATTAAAGAAAGAAAGAATGAAAGAAAGAAAGGAGTAATGAAAGAAATTATTCTTAAAAAGAAAGAAATAAGATATGGCAAATGTGATATTGTCAGAAAGGAAAGATGAGGAAAAGAAAGAAATTATTATTAGATCATAAGCGAAGACTGTCATGTAAGAATGAAACTTAACATAACTGAAGAGAGAAAAACTAGAAAGAAAAGAAAAAAAAACACAATGCATGATGGGAAATAAGACCACAAGCCTAACATTAGACGCCATTTTTTTATTTCGATAATCCTCTCCTGATTAAAATGTGTCACCTTATTTCATTATTTTTTAAAAATTTTATTCTAACAGCTTTAAAAGAAAAGAAAAGACTGTTTTTTAATATTTCCCGCCCATCTTTCAACCATTGAATCAATGTTTTTAACAGTCCATTCCAAAATAATAAAATGCATTAGTACTAACTCGAACATTACAATACAAATTCCACGAGGCAGTAATTCACTAAACGTTTAAATCTCCATTTAGATTGGAACTGGCAAAAAGATTTTAATAGATTTCAATTCCAAACAAGATTTCCAACCGATACCAGAATGATTACTTTCCCTGTCTGCATAACTTCACTGAAATGAGTACGATGTTGTATGATTTATCCGTTATCTAATAAAGAGAGATATAACAACACAGTTCTGAAGGAGAACTTTGGCGCTAAGAGACAGTTTTATTTAAAGTAAAGGGTTTATCATATTGCTTAATGTCATTATTTACATTATTCGGACTATTGTCCTCAACTTTGTCGCCATATTTATTATAACGCCTTGAGGATACATGGCACAGTGGATAAAGGCGTTAGTTAGATCCAGTGACAGGACACAAAGAGTGTGAGTTCAATACCCGGTTAAGGCAGTGCAGAACTTTCAGAGGGAAATTGATATGAGATAACTGATAACTGACATCCGTTAAAAACATGGCACGTGAAACTAGAACAATCTACCCCAGTGAGCGAAATAAAGGGTTCAGTGACAGGACCCAAAGAGTGTGAGTTCAATACCCGGTTTAGGCAGTGGAGACCTTTCAGAGTGGGGTTAGCAGGAGATGACTTGTTACTGAGATCCATTAAACATGGCACGTGGAAATAGAACAGTCTACCCCAGTGAGCGAAATAAAGGGTTCAGTTCGGCATTCCAACTACCTGAAGAGGGCCGGAGCGTACAACGGCCGAAACGTTGTAATAAATATGGCGACAAAGATGAGGACAATAGTCCGAATAATGTAAATAATGTACATAATACTTCATCTCAGAAATACCGACAGATACTGCTTAATGTCATGTTATATCAAGTTGGCCCTCAGTAAAGACGAGTAAATAAATGTGACATTTTTTCTTTTTTTATCTGGGAAAAGCACTATGTGTCGGGGCTGTCATGAGATAACAAGGGCGATTATTCAAGTGGAGCTCTCAAAATTTAATCAATTTGAAAACAACCATTGACAAATACCTAAATTATCTACGTAGATTTTTACACGCAACGAAAGTTTTGCCAACGAAATATAAAGTTTAGGGATGAAAAGTAAATTTCACAAATGAATCGGACATTTGCGCTTAACATAATAGACAATTGAGATGTGTTTCTACAGGGGTTCTTGATAGGCTCCAGAGGCGGATATGCAATATAATTGGCCCTGCTCTGGCATCTTGTCTACAGTCACTTTCTCACAGACGCGCCGTCGCCTCTCTCTGTCTGTTCTACAAATACTTTCATGGCAATTGCTCCGAGGAGCTGCATTCACTGGTTCCCAGACTTCATGAGTTCAAGCGCCCGACGAGGCTGGCATCCCGCTCTCACCCCTTCACTGTCGAAACTCCTAAATGTAGCCGTCTCTTCTACTCTAATAGCTTCATGTCTCGTACCTCTCGCCTGTGGAACTCCCTTCCCTATTCTAGTTTCCCTAAGAGCTATAATCTCCAGCTATTCAAGTGTAATGTCAATCGACATCTCCAGTTGCCTTGATCTATCCACTACCCTTCTCCTCATACCCTCTTCTATCACTCCTATCTGATCTCGAACTATATTTTCTGTAACCCCTTGCGTCCTCGTGGCTTCCCGCATTGCTTGGGGTTAATTACTTAAAAAAAAAAAAGAAGAATGCTGTGAAGACCATGGTCGTAACATATGAGTAAGGCGAAGCAATGGACTCTAAGAATTAGAACGAAATAGTAAACATAATATCGAGAGACCGCTTTGAAAATCTGAGAAAAAAATGAGATTTTCACCAGCAGGAAGTGTAAAAAAACTGTTATCATAAAACTTATAGTTATATTTCGCCATTTCAACTGCAAAATGATGAGATTTAGCTTCTAATCTAGTGCTGCGTTTAAATCCGTTCGATCGAGGTACCCAAATAAAATGGTCATCTAAACAATTGCTATGAAATATTTATAGAAAAGACACAAGGAAGGGATGAGACGGCAGTGGGAAAGGGACCGAAGCCGAGATGCCAGGTCAGGAGCAATATGTGGCACCATGCATACCTGACGAGCTGAGAGAAATATTCATAGATATATGATTTATTTTTTACGGTTTATCAACCATTTAATAATTATTTAAGGCCGAAAAATATTTTGGGTTTTGAGAATAATTCTTGCTTTACATTCAAGCGATCTGGAAGAAAGAAAGAGAAAACGAAGAAGAAAGAAAGAAAAAATAATACGAAAACAGGTCATAGGCGAGCACACACACGCACGGCTGACAGATAACAGGTGTCGTAAAATATTCAGGTCAAGCATCTGACCGATTTCCGCGGATCCGCGAAAAATGGAAGTTTGTTATCAATTGGTCGTCACCCAAGGGAAAAGGAGAAACGAAGTTTAGGGACAATGAAAATATTGATAAGTAACAAGGGAAGTGTGTCATTGGAATGATAGTAAAGGTCTAAGTGGGTGGGGAAGTGTATCTAAGGATATGAAGACAAACCATTAATACGAAAACATAGACAGTCTCCAGAATTAGAAAAATCCCACACAAAGTGGTCACTGCAAAATTTTTTTGAGATAATAAAGATTTTTTATTATCAGACCTTCGAGCGGAGGGAAAATGAAATATTTTTATTCCGTTTCAGAAACGCCAATGAGTCTGAGAAATTCCTTTCTTAGATCATATCCAATTAGCGATAAACTGCTTGACAAATACCACGTGTTGGAAAGCCAAGAGTGTCATCTCAGTCGCTCATGATAAGGGCGATTTGAATTAATATTTTTGCTTTTTAAGCAAGGTATCTATTTCCCAAAACAAAGCCACGGATTGTCCACGCCCGACTAAAGACGTCATTGGCTAAATAAGATCACATGACACACGAAGGAGGAGGAAAGATACCCGACCAGGACCTCATTGGCCGAGAGCGGTCACGTGACGCACGAGGAGAATCGGTCGACGCCCCTGTCAGAAGTGTAAGTGTAAGGAGCCGATACGAATAAGCGGGGAAGCGGATACACGCCCCTCAGAGGCACAGTAAGGGGGTGGGGGAGGTGAGTTACCGAAAATGGAAAAGAATGAAAATCCCTAACCAGAAATAAGAAGGGTGGATACGTATTTAGAATTATCGAAGAAACCCTGGTGCCGACAGACCCACCCCAGTTTTGACTGCGTCAATAAAAGCGAGACCCCAACCGACAGAAATCAGAGTTTCAGCCGCGGACGGCAAGCGGAGTGGAACCGCGGACGGCGGCCCGAGTTCGGTCGCCCACTTTGCGGGCAGGAGAGGCCAGTTCGTTTGGCCTAAGTGAAGAAGTTCGTCCGACCCAAGCCGAAGAGAAGAAGTTAGTTCGCGCACCGACGGCGGAGATGAGTGACCAGTAATTCAGACTCTGGAGAGAAGAAGTCAGTTCAGCCGCGGAGATGAGCGCCCAGTGTTGAAACCGCGTCAAGATAGCTGACCAAGATTCACGCACACTTCTGGACTCTTCTACAACCAAGAACAAGTAGTTTGAAGAGCGACTTAGAATCAGACCACAGAAATAAGTTTGTTTTTTTTCGACTTTCGTCCAAAGACACACCGAAACACAAAATTCTTAGAAAGCAGACAACTTGAAGCCTTAAAGTTGCCTAGTAAAAGCGTCGTGCCACAATCCACAGAACGGGTCGGGAAGTAGACATAGTCCTATGTACCGAGCAAATAGACATAAAAAGTTTGTTACCTTTTTCTTTGATACGTTGGACCTTGTGAGTTTTTATTTTATTTTCTTTTATACATAATTGTGTGTTATCACCCCTGTTGGACTCAACTTGCATTACGGCCCCAACCCCTGTTTGATCTCGTCTGTCTAAGATCAATTCACAACGTGGGTAGGCAGACTGGAGATCAGTGCAGTTACCCTGGTAACCAGGCGTTGGAAGAGGGTTGGGAACGGCGAGGCTGCTATCAACCTAACCAAAGGGTTAGAACGTCACGTTTGGAGCAGCGAGGAGCGAACAGCTGACGCCGCGGCGAAGACGTCACAGTTGGTGCTGTCCGTGACCAGGATATCAGAGCCTGGGGAGCACGTGACGTCACAATTGGCGCCGCGACCGGGATCGAACGACACAGTCGACGCTGCGACCGGGAGACGACGTCACAAATAACATTGCAGATTCTTTTTATTAATTACGTGAAGAACCTCTAAACACGTAGAAGAAACACCAGTAATATTCAATGTACGGTTCAATGGTAAACTTGTAAATGTGCTAGATTCTGGCGAGAACATTGTCTAGCAGGCCACTTTGAAACAGCTTTCCGAGTGGCAGTCCTAGCAATGGATTCAATATAGTCGTTTCACTTCCCGTCAGTATAAAACGCTAATCCATAAAAGGCGTAGTGAATCAATCTCTTGGAGGTCAGCTGATTGCTCCTTCTTTTTTGAAAAAGTTATAAAAACAAACAAAATTCACTTGACGTGATGGTTTAGCAGTCGTATTCAAAATATCTGCATTTATTCCGGACAGACCACGTAAAATTTCAACTGCCTTTTGTTTCGAAGAGAAAATTCTTCAACTCAACAGACTGCGAAGTTTAAATAGTCAGACGTATCATCATTATCCAAGAAAATATCATGAACCTCGCTCTCGAGTTTGAGAGAAGCGCCATTTTCGACAAGGCAAGTCCGATCATCAATTAAATGCGCCGGACGCTATTGGCTACTTTCCAAATAAAGTGTCTTTCCTTGGATACGATTGGCTGATTGCCAAGTTAAATATCTTGATCCTGACTGGTTGCTTCCCAATTTAAATATCTTGAAATGATTGGCTGTTGTCCGAGCTGACGAGTCGCCAGCGTTCGATTTCCGGTTTCCATTGAAGTAGAGTTGGAAATTTGCCTAGATAAATATTTCGATTTACTATTCAGATATGTTTATTTCAAATCGTCTGATTTTAAATCTACGGGATTCTCGTTAGTGTTTAAAATTCGCGACGGCAGGTGAGCTTTAGGTAAAGATGAAAGGCATCTCAACTGGTAATCCAGATGATTCCTTTCTTTGCTTACAAGTCCTTGTTTACAAGCTTTTCATAGACTGTAAAAGGCAAAATGTCTAGAAACGGAAGATTGTCTTCCTCCAAATTACTATATAAGACGGTTTAACTTTAACCTTACGAATATAACTATTAGCTTTCGAATGCTAATGATTGGTGCCAGTCAGAAATACCCAACTATCTCAACCACCAAACCTACTAAAAAGGAATAGTATAATAGATTCTTGAAAAGGGACTAAATTGGGTTCCTTTTAAAGATTGAACCAGTTTCCTGTAATTTAACAGGTTAACTCTAAAATCTGTTCACTAAGAGAGACAGAGTGTGCGTGTGGCGTCACGGATAACGGCTTAGAATGGAAAATCAGAGAACTAAGTTCGAATTCCTTTCGGGTCCGTTACATTAATTATGAGAAAATAGCCCTAGGAAAGGTATGAATCCATACTATTTCCATCTGCTATGGGTTAAACAGTAGGAATTGCATCAAGAAAAATCGGTTAATTTGCAGTTTAGCATCCGAGCTCAGTTCGTGTTAAAAATTTACAGAATACTTACATTTATGTGCAATTGTACATGCTTCATTCGAATTGGCTTGATAAATTTGATAAAATCTACCGTTTTGGAATTATCGATAGTAAAAGTTCGGATTCATTCGCGTCGTTGGCTGAAGTCATTACTGGCGTTGTTTGCATACATTCGCTGCAGAATACTAAGCTCGGAAGAATGTAGGTAACGGCCCTTTTTTTTACTGATCTTACTCATCTCGACTCAATTATTGCGCAAGAGGACTATATTGCATGCACAAAAATCAAGACAGTTGAATATTCCAATCATAGTTTCTTACAAAACATTGTTAATATTCAGATGCCAAAAGCAAAAATATGTTCTCACAATTCTAAACATATCTCGGCTTTAAATAACCTCCAAAGTGTTGATATACCGTAAAAACAAATCAATTAAGAGAGGTTTTTTTTTCATTATTTAGGCGTATTTTTATAATTTTAAGCTAAGTTGAACTTAGTATGACATACCAGAACAAACGAAAAAAAAGATCATGTTGCGCCAAGAACTTCGAAAAGCATTATTCTAAAACTTGTCTGGATTCAAAACGCCAATTATTAAGTGCGGAACTATATAAGCAAGAACTGAATGCGAATGAGTGAAAATACACTTTTCAACTTAAAGAATTTTCCATTAACAAGAACAATTTTGAGAGCGTTGGCTGTAAAGCTAACACTCATCTCTTCGAGACCATTTGGACTGAGCTATCCAGACTAAACCAAGTCATGCTATCAATTAGGATTCCATTGCTGGGGTCCTCTTCTAAAAAAGTCCCATTTTAGTAAATGGTCTCCAGTCATAGAATGATGCTTAGCAAGGATACTCTAATGGAATATGATACTACAAAAACAAAATATTAACCTAAGAACACAAACAATATCTTAAATATCCTTGTCAGATCTTGACTTTCATGTGGATGTCACACATAGCACCTAACCCGTTCAGATTTGGCTAAATACTCGTCTCTATGCAGCCGTTTTCTTCAATCAATGATTAAAATTTCAAGTGAATGAAACCTCTACGTCTTAAAGAAGACATTCCTTCCTTAGATATTACTGACTGGCGCTACAGAATCACAAGCAAATAACATTACAGAATAACAATAATTACATATCACAGAGAATTCCAACATAGCAACTAACTCATGTAACAAGAAGAGAAAATAAAGTTATTGACTCGCCGCACAACCTTCAATAAAAGGTTAGGAAAATCCCCATCAATACTTGAAAGAGCGATAACTTTTAGTGAACTTGAGAAAGATATTTTATTTAACAACTGTTTTAAGAAAATTTTTAAATGTTTCACCTGAACTTTCTTTAACGGTCAATGAATATCAAATATTTCCTGTGTGAAAACAGCTATTCACACCATTACCATTAATATTTGTAATGTTTTTTTTAGAACCAACGCATTTGCTAGGCTATGAGGATCTCCTTATTAGGCCTAGCATAGAAATAAATACAATATGGGATCCGCTAATAAAGAAAGAAAGAAATATGACAGCAAAGCTTCAGCAGCAGCAGCAGCAGTCAAACATGAGAGGCAACAGCACTATCAGCAATCTAACCAGCAGGTAGGTTAAGTTCACTGTTCTAAGTTCACTACAGAAAATTGTCCTAGAGGATTAAAACGTTGATTTGTGGATTTAGTGACATAGTAATTGTGAGTTCAATCCCTGGGGCGAGCAGTGTGTACTTGCAAACGAGCGAGCAATAACTAAGCAGTACTACAAATAAGACCAAGACGAGATATCCCTAGACATGGACAGTGGGATGAGAAAGTTTAACTTCTTTTAGATTAATCAGTGGGTTCAGTTCAGAATTGCCTGTAGATGACCTAGAACGATATACATCTGATAAAGTCTGGAAGAAACAACGGCCGAAACGTTATGATAACAACAACAAAGATGAGGATAAGAGACCAAATGTAAATATTGTAAAGATCACTGATGTTAGGTACTTTCCTTTTAATCTCCATAAAGGCGCAATCGTGATTGTTCAAGGAAAAGTTTGAGGAGTACTTTCGTACTGCCTTGTCCATGATTTGAATACAGTGTCTTCCTTCTGTAAGACTGACTGCTAACCAAAGATAGAGCTCTCAGTCTGAAATTCTTTTTAGTCTATAGTTGGATGTATATGGAGGGAATACCAACTATATCCGCCTGAATTTGATCTCGGCTCGCCGATAACGATTTCTTTATCGTCAGGCCAACTCACACCTTTTTTAGAACCGGCCACTATAATCGGGCATTTCTTAATGATATTTACTTAGCTCACCCCGGCATAAGAAGACTATGATTGTCCATTTTCTTATGTGCCGTGTCACTTCTGCATGTGATCGGTCATGTCTCTCCTCGATTTCTCATCTTTTGTATCTCTAACCAATACTTGTTGCTTTAATATCACTTCCAGTGTTCAACAGTCGGTTTTCATAAGTTGTTCAGATAGCCTAACGAAGAAAATGGCAAGTCAAGCCAAGCGACCACGTGTCGTATGTATCTTATATTGGAATGGGAAGAAAGCGCGCACGTGACTCCTGATAACGGCATGCAAAGTTTTGGTCATACCTTAACTAATCACTGACTTCTCAAGCTAGATATAAACAGAGGCTGCATGTGACTGGCAAATTGGTTCTGTGAATCATTACATGGTGTGAACGAGAATTTCTTGCAATGAGCAGTTGCTGTATCGAATTTTTATCCCCTCGAAATTCTACTACAGTGATTGCTTGGAAATATCAAAGGCTGTAAGGTTGAATGCGCAGGTGGTATAATGGATAATGGCTTGAAATTGGAAACAGTTTCAAATGATGGACACACTGGTCTACTTCAGGCCTTCGTCTATGCAAGGAATTTCAAAGTCTTTTATTTAATCTACAGCATTGACAATGGAATTAAACAGTTAAATTTCGGCACCTGCTTGATTCTAATGTCTCCAGTTCAAAGTTTATGCTTTAGGTTATCTTTCTTGCTGACATTGATGCAAAAAATATTTTGAAAAGTTGGAATAATGCTGGAATGTAAGAAATCACAAGAAACGGAATATATCTGAAGAGGACTAAAGTGCCATTTCCTTAAGAAAGCTATCTTTTGTAAGTATTAAATGGATACTTCTCAAACAGACCTTGTACAGGCTTCTGACCAAATCACGTCGAAACACTGGCTTTTGTTGAATCACTAAAGTTAAGCAATGTCAACCTGGTCATTACCTAGATGGATAGTGAAGAGAATGGTGACTTACCTCGTCAAATGAAGCAACAGTGTGTCACGTGTATCATATGCCAGAAAAGTATATATTCATTACTGTAAAAAAAATACAATAAGGGCAAGTGGAGAAAGGCTGGTCTTCGCTAACTAGCTTGCTCCTACTTAATCACATTCACGATTCATTCATCTAATTGACCTGTTTACCACAAGAACTCACTTCTCATCATTCAATCCTGCATCTACAACATTGCCAAATAATCACGGGGGTGGGGGGCTACAAAACAACCCCATGATTTAAATATCTCCTGAAAGCTCATAATGTTTAATTACAAAAATGTATAAAAATTTCATGCATCATGAAATGCGAGGGGTGGGGGCGGAGAATGAACCCAGAAAACGAACAAAAGATTGTACCAAAAACAAAACATCTATGTCAGAAAAATAGATATTTACTTGACCCCCACCCTACTGAGTCAGGTTGTGACACAAGATGAGTTTTTAACGTGGGGTCCCGAGTGTTTTAACTCGGTCCGCTGGTCATAGCTTGTTCAGCTGGTCAGAGCCGGTCTAAGCTAGTCGTAGCCGTGATACTACCAGCACAGGGACGGATCCCTACTCCAGGTAAGTTTCTCTATGTCAGCTTTTGACTTTTGTTTATATATCAGAATGCCATGCAAATCTTTGGTCACACCTCAACCAATCACTGACTTCTAGACCGAGATATAAACAGGTGACGCATGTGACAAGCGACACGTCGAGAGGAACCATTTGTTGAGCCAAGCAGCTGATTAACTTGATTCATTGATTGATACATTGATTAGGTTTGGTTTGTTTTACGGCATATCGACCTCAATGGGTTGTTTAATGCTGACAAGATTTTTTATTGCTGGTAATATTTTTATCTATCTATCTATCTATCTATCTCAGTATATATTGGTTTGTTTTGTTTTGTTTTACGGCATATCAACCTCAATGAGTTATTTAATGCCGACAAGATTTTTATTGCTGGTAATATTTTTTATCTATCTATCTATCTATCTATCTATCTATCTATCTATCTTGGTCTCTTCATGTCTATCTGTCTCTCTTGGTCTCTTCATCTCTCTCTCTCTCTCTCTATCTATCTATCTATCTATCTCAGTATATATTGGTTTGGTTTCGTTTGTTTTACGATATATCAACCTCAATGGGTTATTTAATGCCGACATGACTTTTATTGCTGGTAATATTTTTTTTATCTATCTATCTATCTATCTATCTATCTATCTTGGTCTGTTCATGCCTATCTGTCTCTCTTGGTCTCTTCATCTCTCTCTCTCTCTCTCTCTATCTATCTATCTATCTATCTATCTATCTATCTATCTATCTATCTATCTATCTCAGTATATATTGGTTTCGTTTGGTTTGCTTTACGGCTCATCAACCTCAATCGGTTATTTAATGTCGACAAGATTTTTATTGCTGGTAATACTTCTTTTCCAAAAAATATATTGCTGGTAATATTTTTCTTTTTCAAAAATGTACTGCTGGTAATAATTTTTCCAAAAAAGTATTGCTGGTATTAATATTTTTATACTTTCATAGTATTTGACCCCTTTGGGGTGGGTGTTAACTATTTACCCATAGCTGGAACTCTTACGTGTGCTACCGCACCGGGTCAGGATGGATCTGGGAACAACAGCAATCAAGAGGTGGTTCCATGCTCCTCAAAACCTCCTGATCAAAGGCCTTATTGCCGGATGTAGTTTATCATACCCAGGAGAGGACTGCTGTATTGAATTTTATCCCCTCATAATTCTACTACAGATAGGTTACTAAGTGGATCCCTCTGCTCTTCTCGCCCTTAGTATGTTCTTTGAGTGTCAACTTCACCAAGTCACCTTTCCTGATTACACGTCTTAGACATTTCCACCGTTTCTTTCTGCTTCTATGTACAAGGATCCTATTTGATATGATTTCACTTTAAACCTTCTAGTTACTCACATTCTCCGTCCATGAAGCCATATTAGTGTCTCCTCAAACCTCCTCTTCTTTTGAAAGGGAAATTCTCCAACATTCAGTCAAATATGGGACGATTGATATTATATAGCATCTGAGCCCTCTTTGCTTTGTTTTTAACGAAATTTCCTTGTCTCAATAGAATCCTTACCAATAACGGATATAAGAAGGCCTTCCGTATATGAGGAATTGGTTACAAGTTCCGGATATGAGGGGTTATATTTAGATTAAATATTATATATGTTCCGGACGTCGATGTGGATTAATTTGAGGATTAACTGTATTTTAGATTTGTTCTGTTACTTTTTACAATAAATAAAAAACGGAAAAGATTTTTTTATATATATATATATTGGATGCAAAATCGTCATATATAAAAAAAAGTTTGGTTTGGTTTGTTTTATGGGTTATAAAACCTTTGGGACATTTAATGACGATTTTTTTTTCTAAAGAAAGCCTTGAATTTAAACAGTCAAAAAATATTTTAAATAGTAAGACTCATTTTTTTTTTAAATTATATTTTTCAAATCAGTTTCATAATTATATTTTATATAATTATAATTCATAATGATATTGTTCCATTAATTGTCATTTTGCTATAAAGATGTACTGCAGATTTTTGTTTGAGGGTTCTCTATTTGCCCATAGCTTGGACCCTAACAGGTGCTACCACCCCAGGCCAGAGTGGACTTGGGAACAGCATCAGAGGTGGTTCCACGTTCCTCAAAACCTCCAATCTCCAGATCAGAGGCCTTGCTGCCGGATGTAGTTTATCGTCATACCCAGGACGAATCTACAAAAGACATGTATATTATAACGGTGCAGTTATAATGAAAGGGGATATTGAATGTACGAATTGTTTTTTCTTTTCTTTTCACTTCCTTTATTTTGAGTTGAGAATAAATGTTTAAATTTTAGGAGAATTTTTTTTTACTACGCGATAAAATGCAGGAGAATCCCTGACAACCGGATTAAGAAGGCCTTCCGGATATGAAGAATTGGTTACAAGTTCCGGATATGAGGGGTTATATTTAGATTAAAATTTTTAAAAATCTCCAAACAGGTTTAACATTTGTTTTATAGTAAACAAAATAAGCCAATAGTGAGTGAAATATAATGGAATTGATTTTAAGGAAAATGAAATAAATTATGTAATGTTAATGAAAATTCATTAAATTAAGTTTGCCACGTATACAAAACAAATAATATAACAAGGATTTTTTAATCGATGTTGCATGATGATTCTTTCTCTTTTAATGTCATTCTCAAATTTTTCTACATTTCGTTTTGCTTTTGTTCTTGAATTTTTTAAAACGAAAGACACTATTTAACTCTGCGTGCGTTATTGCAATCATTATAGCTGAATGCTGGCTTTCTTTCCATAAAACTGACAACCTTTTCAATCGCTTTTTCAATATCAGTTCAGGTTTCATCACAATCATGTTTTTTTTTATTTCCTTGTTCCTTGTGGTAGTGTGAACGCTGGAGAATAGTTTCTTTGGAAGATTTTATATCATACAATATTAACTTTCCTATGTTGAACTCAGTCCTTAGTTACAATGAATTTTCCCCAGCATCTAGTCTGTTTAAAATTTCTACTTTTTGTGATAACTCCAAAGATGTTCTTTTCCTCTTATTCCCATCATCTTTTGCACCAATACAAGCCATTAGGGTGAGATAAGCATAAGCAATTATCCAAAGTAAATTTCCTGAAAAACAGAAATTTCATATCAGTTACATATCACTCAAATAGTTCAAATATACACAGTAAAATCATGTCCGGACATGCGGGATTCCGGATATGAGTCACTCCGGTTATGAGGGATTCTGGATATGAAGGATTCTACTGTACTTTGCTTGGATTTTGGAAGGCATATTTCGCGCTTCTAATGCGTCTTCGGATTTCTGTATAACATTTTTCGTCGTTTATTGTAATATTTACCTGATAATGAAATTTCTGTACCTACTTGATTCTGACATCTCAAGTACGTCTCTCGCGCCATGGGATCTCTTTCTTCCTAACGGCCATAGATTCTGTCTTCATAAATTTTATGATTACATCCAATGAGTATATTAAGATCGCTTACCTTAGTGGCAAATGCCAGTTTCATGGGACCCAAGAAATGAAATTGTCTAAACGTAGATAAATACGAGATCCGTAAATAAGTGTTGGTATTTATTAGCGTTATAGATCAGGCACAAGGCCGCAGATGAAGTGCATCTAATAAAGTTATTGAATCAAAGCTACTGTAATGGCACAGCCACCTAGTGAGGAGCGAAATATCAACGTCCTGTCATATAAACTTGTTGACAAGAGCGTTAAGAGAGACGTCCCCAAGGTTAACTTAAATACCTACATGCCAGTGTACAGTTAGAAAATCTTTTTTAATTCAGTAATAATTTCAGGTTTTTTTCTTAGTTTTTATTTTTTTTATTTGTTCTTTTTTTTAATAAAATATCTTTAGGGGTTTCTTTTTAAACGTTTAGAACCAAAATAAACATTCATTTAAATTTATCTCTATACCTATCAGACTTACCACACTTCGACAAAGTTTACGAGGCTTTAATCAACGCCAAAGTGCTTAAGCACTTTACTTCCCACAATCTGCCCTCCAACAAGCAATATGGTTTCCGCTTTGCCCGATCTACTGCTGATATGCTCACGACCATAACTCAATTTGTATACCAAACACTTCACAATAACAGAGAATCTCGAGCTGTGGCTCAAGATATCTCTAAATCATTTGATAGGGTTTTGGCACGACGGCCTTCTTCGCAAGCCTCAGAGATACGGCATTACAGAACGATTATTTTACAAAAACAATCATTCCTGTCAAACTGTGAAATGAACGTCGTCCTAAACAAGTTCTCCTCACGCTCCTTTATCACGAAAGATGGTGTTCCCGAAGGATCTATCTTGGGTCCTACACTGTTTCTGATCTTCATTAACGACCTTCTTGATGTCATCAGTTCCCAAGTTGGCATCTATGCAGACGACATTACTATTTACTCCTGCCTCAATAGCAAATCTGGTATCGTTGACGAAATTAATATGGCCGCCGGTCTCGAAAAGGATTTACAATCTGTAGTGGACTGGGGCAGCAAATGGCTTGTAAACGAAACTGCTCTCATTTACCCACCACCGAGAACCCTCCCTGCCTCCCATCAGAATGGTTGATGCCCAACTCCTCGAGAGCGCCTCGTTGCGCCTGCTTGGTCTCACACTGTCCGCTGATATGAGGTGAAACAAATACATAGACCCAATGGCTTCATCTACCACAAGGAAAGTTGGTTCTCTGTGTCGTGCTAGAAAGTTTTTTCTCGTCTGAGTCCTTCCTTCAAATCTCTAAATCAACCATCCGTTTTTGCATGGAATACTGGTGTCATATATGGTCTGCTGCCACCGAGGTCCTTGACGAAATTAGAGACGGATATGCAATATGATAGATCCTTATCTGACATCTCGTCTACAATCGCTTTCTAACAGACGTTCAGTGGCTTCCCTCTGTCTATTCTATAAGTATTTTCACGGCAGCTGTTCCGACGAGTTGCTTTCGCTGGTTCCCAGACTGCATGAATTTGAGCGAGCTGCTTGGTTGGCATCTCGGTCCCACTCTTTCATTGTAGAAACAGTTAAATGTAACCGTCTCTTCTACTCCAACAGCTTCTTTTTTTGCACTTCCGATCTGCGGGATTCTGTTCCTCTTACTTGCTTCTCTGATAACTATAATATTCAAATATTTAAGTGTAATGTCAATCGAAATCTGATCACTTAATGTTGTTCCCCGTCCTTCTCTTTAACCTCTCCACAAACACGCCCCTTTACTCTTGTACTCTACCCTCTGAAAGCCCTCGCGTGCTAGTGACAATCCCGCGTTGCTTGGGGTGAAATGCTTAAAAAAAAATTTTTCAGGGGGTTGTTAGTTTTACATGTCAACTTATTCAACATCGAAATTTGTACGGGCCACCCAGTTTGGATGAAACTTACTCCTCAGCAGTAATGGTTATTTGGTTGATTTTGCAACATGCCAACAAATGTTGGGATATTTAATGTTGAATTGTATATGTGGCACCCAGTGAGTGTCAAAATCATTACTCAGTAGACCCAAGCCTTGTGAGTGAAATTGGGTAGACAGAACACTTGGGAGCTGTCAACAGCTGTGCTAGCATGAAGTCACAAGTCATCGTGGCCGAGGGCTTGAGCGTGCTGGCCTGGTTCAAATTGTTGATCACGCAAGATAACATGCTCTCTCCCAGAAACTCTAAGGTCTGCTCAGCTTAGTTGCAGTATAAACCATAAGTGGGCTCTGAGGGTATTGAATAAACACAAATGTGCCTGAGCAAGCATCTGCAATAGGGATTGGCTAGCCGCTCTAGTTGATGA